TGTAGAAGAATTTTATTTGAATTTTCATGCAAATATATACATGCAGAGTATTAATAGATCTGCCCCCGTTGGTGACGTTATTTTTTGCTAATAAAGAAAATAAAAGCAAAGAAAGAGAAGAAAAAGGATGGAATGGAACAAATATCTCCTATAGTAAAATTACATAAATGCCCGTTACGTTTTTATTGGGAATGTAAAAGGCCCTTCAAACATCTCGGTAACAGAGAGGATAATTCACAAATATCGCGTATAACAAAATTACATAAATGCCCCTTACGTTTTTCTCGGGAGGTAAAACGACCTTCAAACGTCTTGGTTATAATTAGTACTCTCCACAAAGTTTTAATATTGTAAGAGCATTTAGATACACGCTCAACCCACAGAATCCGCTGTGTGTTTAAATTATATATTATTAATTTGTTATCTGCAAGTGGCATGAGAACTAGCCTTGGTGCTTTAGTTAGGATTTTTTAGTATAGAATTTCTCTAGAAAGTTTCACGTGTCATGAAAATATCAATATTCTAGGTGATGAGCGTGAGCTTTGTATAATCAAGTCTCAACTAATTCAAAATAAAGCATGTCTTCAAGCTAAGCCTATTCCTTACTAATTAAAAGTTAGCATTTCCCGTTCTACTTCCTCCGTTCTCAATCCTCCGATACTAAAACCAATTACCCACCTAGTTTCCGCAACCCCAATCTCAATCCTCTGATACTAAAACCAATTACCCACCTAGTTTCCGCAACCCCAACACCTATGACACTTGTTAGCAGCTAAAGGATACCTGCATCAACTTAAAAAAATATACAAGTGGAATTATTTCAAATCTGAAGAATGATTTTCTTTCTGTAATACCTCATTCTTTATGCAATCTTAACCAATTTATTTGAAACATCAAATAATGCTCTCAGCTTGGGAACATCATAGCGAAATTAATACACACTTCGAACTCTTTTACTGAACCCAATTTCAATTCGTTCAGATGAAAAATGAGCTCTATAATACGCCTTGGCCCAAAAGAATATGAGAAAAGTTCGGAACTCAACTAGTCTAATGCACAAAATATATGAAATTATCTTTTTCATCAAGAACAACCTGAGTAAGATTGCATCTTAGAGGTACACATTCATGAGCATCCTCCTCTGATCACATTCCATTTGCAGATTACATCATCACACAAATGACCAATTTATTTCGAATGCATTGCATTGACCTGTGCATTCCTCTTCTTTAACCACTTTCTGTATATATGATATATATAAATATAAAAAGATACATACAGCAGTGTCTCCCATTGAACTCCCCTTCTCACTCGAAAGATACGCGACCTTGAGGACCACCAAGTTGAGTAAGTCAGTTGCCTACCCAGGATACAAACTCAATGAAACACCAAATACTTAAAAGAGGATAATTATACAGGTACTATGTACAATGCGATTCTTACTCTAATGAGCTCTAGCAATTTTATGTAGAAACACACCATGCTTGCTAACAGTGTAGGAATTGACGGGCAAGAAAAATGTTGTTGGTTTGAAAAAAAATATGATAGTACTTGCAAACTTTGAAAAATGTTGTTGATTTGAAAAAAAAAAATATGACAGTACTTGCAAACATTGAACAACCAAGGTGTGATAAGCATATACACCATACTTGTAGCCGGAAGGAAAAATATCATTCAATTAATAAGAACGCAATTGAAACTTCTCCAAATAAAACTATCTTGCTTTTATACACACGCACACGCGCGCGCGCACACACATATAGACATCCCACACACACATATAGACATGGAAGTATTAGTTTCTGTCACATCTCTACGAGCCCTCGAAAAGATATAATGATCAAGAAGTTCCATTTTAACAAAGATAAGACAAATACCTTCTCAGTTGTGAAGGTTGATGACCATTCCCTTGAAGCGTCTAGCCTTCTGTTCCTGCTCCTTCTCAACCCGCAATGATGCTAATTCCTTCTCAGTTGAAGCTTTTTCTCTGCGCAGTTTTCTCGTTTCCACCTCCATGGCTTTAGTCAGTGTGTCAATTTTCTTTGAAAGCATCTGGAAGATTTGCAAGTTTGGTTACTTCAAAATCAGAGCCAATTAACAATCATGATCACTATCACTAGATAAAGTGAGCTTGTACCTCAATAGAATTATCCTTGTCTTTCAGACATTGCTCCTTCTCATGGCATGCTTTTCTTAAAGCAATCACCTCTTTTTGGAGAACATCATAAAATACACCAGAAACAAAATCATCCCCTACAGATTCTAAGAGGTCTGTTGGCCTGCCGGTTTTATTCTCCTCTACGTCAGATGATGTGCTACTTACTGTATCATCTCTTAAATAATCATTTTTGTATGCATAGCCAAATGGTTTTGCTCCACATTGGTCATCAACTGATGATCTGCCCCCATCAAATGATTTTGATGCTCCCTTTGCATTTTTCAGCATAGTAGTCGTGGGGCTAGGCAATGCTGGAGATCTTGAACCTGAAGCAGGTGATTTTCTGATAGAAACTACAGGGGATGAAGGATTAAATGAAACATCAGCTCCATTGACTGACCGGCTACGAGACAAGAAGGCGTTGCTTCGGTTTTCATAATGAATGCCAGATCTAAGTGAGGATTTCAGTCCATCCTCAACAACCTTCAAGCGAAGCTGAAACCTTTCCTGCAAATGTATCCGGAGTGAGGCACATGTAATTGATTAGAGGAGATGCTCAAAAGCAATAGTTAATGGATGAAACAATATCACACTGTACTTTGAGTTGGGCCTCTGTTTTGGTTGCGCGTTCTGCTAATGATAGCTTGTCACGCAGTTGCTGCATTTCTCCCTATAGAACAGAACGAAACAAAGACATATATCAAAAAGATTGAAAAGAAAATTAAACATAACAGATTACCAAATGAATACCATCAACACTCGACGTTCTTCAAGCCATTGCTTTACTGGCATAACTTTGTCGTTGGCATCTTTCCACTCATTGGCAGTAGCAACAGCAATTCGGTTTTCGGTAACCATTGCACGAGATAATGTCCTCTCTAGGGTTTTCTTCTCTCCCTGAGAAGAACAGAAATAAGGTGAGGATAAACATAGAACAGTGGATCTCCGTATGTAAAAACACATTTGGGTAATAATAGAAAGATTCATTTCCTCAAAATATTAATAGGAATTCCCAAGTAATCCAAAAAAGAAGTTTTCTTTTAAGTCATGAATGATGAGTTGAAAGATATGAATGGATGTCTATGGATGATACCTTCAGCTCAATAACCTGACGCTTATAATCTCGTACGGCATTTGCAGCTGCAGCTCCTGAAAGAAGAGCCTCCTCCAGTTCACGAACAGTCTGGCCTAGTTTCTCAACTTCTGCAACTTTTTGACGGTGCATCTTATCTAATATCTTATATTCTTCCTGCAATATTCATAACTAGAATTGAAAGTGGGAGGTGCCGTTTCTATTTGATAACAAAAATGGTTTTGTGACATAGTTGGGGTAAAATGTAGGTGTCTTTCCCAGAAACCATCTTTAAAATAGACTCGTTATACAGAAACCGCCTTCAAAATGGGTTTTGTGTTTTAATTAACCACCTCCTAACAAATTTATCACCAAACACCCAAAAATACCCTTACAAAACTCGCATTCAATGCACGCGATTCATGTTGTTAATGTTTAGGCCTAATTAGGATACAAGTTAGCGTACCTAGAAAGTGAAATTGTCTAAGGTTATTTTTGGTTTTTGCGTGAAAATTTGACAAGGAGATGGTTGATTGCAACACAAACCATGGTTTATATATAAATTGACATTCAAAGATAATTTGTGTATAATGATCCTATTTTAAGGTGGTTTCTCGGAAAAGACCCTAAAATATAATAGCATACAGGCTTTTTAGGTCGGCTAAATTACCAGAATGATACTTAAGATAGACCCTCTTTACCAATATGGTATTCAGAAAAACTCCGGCTACATTAGGGTATTTTGTTTCGGCCCCCTTTGCCAAAAAATCCTTTTCCCCTTAGGTGGCGAGAATTCAAGCGGAATAATTTCTTCCAACCCCATGACCTCCAAAATTATTAAATCTACACTCGAGATCTATCAGAACATCCCAAAACACCTCAACACCAAGATTGAAAATTTCGCAATTGGGTTTCTTTAAAGCTTGAGAAGGAGACCAAGTCAATCTTTTCTTGCTCGACAAGCAAGATTGAAACATGAACACTGCATCTCTGACATGCTTACCAAAGAGCCAACTATGAACATCCCAAAACACCTCAATGGAAATGCCATCAAATAAACTAGTTTGATTCCCTCTAAACTTACAACAAATTAAGCCTTTTCACTCCAAAACCTCTTCTTATCAATCCGAATCTCAAGCAAAGGATCTTCAGGCCCATTTGTCTTACACTCGATAGCAATGTCATGAACTTCCCATCATCAAAAAACCGAGCTTTTGTACACAAAACTTTCTTCCTAAAAACATGCTCCTCCTTAGATACAAACACTGCATTACAATGAGGACTTGCATTAGTCTTTCTCATTGCTTCTTTATTCATATCACCTAGCAATAGAACCATCTCATGATCAAATAAAAAGGTAACATAGAATCCTTTCAGTGGTTTGGGGCAGGTCCAAACTTCGCAGCTGAGAGATCCCAATAGATTTCAATTTTGGCAGTCTGCTTCCAATTTCTTTGATCCTTTCCATTTAGAGAAAAACCAAGGCTTTTACATCAAACTTGCAGAGGAATTTGATTGGTGGCGACGAAGATGAAGCGGGCTTGAGAGCGGTGGAGGGCGGCATTTGAACCCATGAAGGTGATTGGCGAAAAGGTAGAGGAAGAGGACGATGATGATGAAACGCTCTAAAGTTGGGATTTTTCTGTTGAAAACCCAAATGAGAACAATTTTGGCGTAGATTTAATATATTTTGGAGGTATGTGTGTGAAAAAAAAAATCCTGCCAAAATTTCACCGCTGGCGAGAAAAACTGTCTTATTGGCAAAGGAGGCCAAAATAAAATACCCTAATTTAGCCGGAGCTTTTTTAAATGCCATATTGGTAAAGAGGGTTTGTCTTAAATACCAATCTGGTAATTTAGCCCTTTTATGTCATAGTAGAAAGTAACAATTGGTGTTAGATTAACAGTGAGTTACCATCGGTTCGATGTTTGAACCTTGAAATGTATGGTGTTGTGTGATCTTCGGAAGTAAGCTATCCCATGGGTGCTATATAGGAACTGCTTAACAGCTTAATCTTAAGTCAAATTGGCAGCTAACAAAATCATGATCGTGTCTACTTCCATTTTGACTTTTTCATCTCCCCTCGTTCTCTATCATCGTCTTAATTTTCAAATTGCCAACCAAGTTGGACCATAACGCTAAAGAGGAAGGAGACCAGTTACCTGACATATGTCACTCTGTTTAGTGAGTTCCTGGTTCTTGTTCAGTAAATCATCAACAAGAGCAGCCTTTATGTTTGCGACCTGCACTTCCTTTTCCGCTTCCAAAAGAGCTACTTCCTTGGATTTTATTAGTCTCTCTAATGCCTTATTATCATCCTGAAGCTTTGATAGCTGGAAACACAAAGAATAATTGTTAGAAAACCAACTATATTATAATCTTGCACCCCAAACAGTATAAGCTTACAACAAAGAATGTATTTGAATGCACACCTCTTGCCTCAGAAGCTTAATCTCTGCTTCAAGCGGGGCAAGTATAGTCTCAAGAGGTGGCAGCTCTTCATCTTTGTGGGCAGCATGAACTCTTCGAAGAGTCGCTTCAGCTGCGAATTGTGCCGCCAATGCTTCTTTCTTCTCTTCAGACATTCGTTTGATCTCTAGGTTCTGACAGTGCAGCAACCAATGTCAAAATTTAGAAACAATCATTGTCAGCAATCAAATCATCACGCATTATGTTATGTTGCCTGACACTGTCAAAATTTAGAAACAACCATTGTCAGCAACCGAATCATCACGCATTATGTTATGTTGTTGACGCAGAATAGAAAGGAAAGGATGTGCGAATTATACGAACAAACTAAAAGAAATGTGTATCACTAAGGCAAGACACCTTGTTCTCTATAGTAGCTTCTGATGCCTCCAACTTCTCCACCGTCTTTTCAAGCTCCTCAGTTACCTATTAGCTCAGACAAATATCGTGCATGTGTAAACAAGTAAGTCAGTCAAAGTTCCTTTGACAGTCCACAGCGAAAGGTAAACAACAAATTTTTAAAGGCCGTTTTACCTCAGAAAGAGCCTTATCTTTTGCTCGTTCCATTAACCTTAAGCCTTTAATCTCACTGTGTGCTTCAGCCAGCTCCCGATCTTTGTCTGTGTTCACAAAAAAAAAAACCACTATAATGTCAATCCCTTTCCCATGCGTGCTTGCATTCTAATCATCAAATCTAAAAACTTGTTCTAGTAATGCCCACAGATATACATGTCCAAAAATATGTGCACCGACTGGCACTCTGTAGTAAAGGGGGCAAAAAAAGATCCGTAAAATTTAAGAAAATACTAATTTAGAAATTCCGACCAAGAGCCGTAAATTTTAAGAAACTTGCATATTCTAGTCTATGATTTGACCAAATGATTGATAATCCTTCCATATTATTCTAAACCGCAGTAAATTATATGGAACGCCTTTTGAAAATATCTAATCTAATAAAGCAACACCCAGCTCATTTTTCGCTGAAAAGAAAAAAAAAGTTTTTTATTTCTCGAAATAAACAGTTGGCACTTGAAGAAAGGCACTTTATAACAACAGCAGCGGCAGCAATTAATTACTGGAAGGAAAGAAGCGAAATTGCAATCACCCTTGACTTCGTTCTGAAGGCGATCGAGCTCGATCTTGACAGGATCGGAGCCATGCAAGAGATTGAGAAAATCCTCCTCTTCGAGACTCGATCTCTTGCCCAGATTCTTCTTCGGGACGACGGGAGAAGAATCCATCGTCGATTGCGGTGCTTTGCGCCGCCCTTCTTCACTTCCGTAATAATTATCCTCCATTTTCGGCTACCAAAAAAATAAATAATAAAGAGATAAAAAATTGGGAGAAACCCTAGCTAGCTGGATTAAGAACACGGACCGATCGGATGAAATTCCCAAAGTTGATCCATCGATCGATCGATCGATCGGTCGAGCAGGAAATGGAGAGAAGAATAACACTAATAATAACAATTAGGTATTAGGTGTAATAATAAACAGCGTCACAGCAACAACAGCAATAATGAAAGTAAGCAAGAGATTTCTTCTTCTTATTTTTATTTTTATTTTTATTTTTATTTTTCTTTCTCCTCTTTTTCCTTTTGAGGTGTTGTCAGTGAGGCCCTGGCTGAGCTTTTAACTTACTTTAAATAATAAAGAAATAGATAAAATGCAGCTCCTCCTCCCTATCAACTGTATATAACCGTCACAGCTGCCGACAAAAACGGAACTGTAATCGAACACCTCCACTGACCAAACTCTACTGAACCCATCGTGCTTTTTAACTGTTCATGATCACGATTCACTAAAACATGTTACTACTATCATTAGTAAATAATAGTGATCACGGCGGTAGCAGCGAGGACCCGTTTGGTCGACTGTTTTTGAAGGGGAAAAGTGGCTCAAAGCTGTCACAGATGTCCCACGTGTGACATCTTTTCGTTCAAAATGAACAAACCGAACGGGCTCCTTACTTACGCATCGTGTAAACACTCTGATAATGTGTTTAATTAGGAGTTTAAATTGACCGTACCAGTAGCCCGCAGCATGGGGACAGCTGTATTATACGAGTTTAAAATTGCAAAAATTGCTTTTATTACTCCCCTGCAGGCAGGGGGACAGCCTGTAATGATGGTATATTTTGGGCTGACTGTGCAAATTTCATTTCTGTATGTTAACTACTTTGCCAGGAGAATTGGCCTCCGAGTTTCCTGATCAGTGCTTTTACCCTTGAGAAGAACGTATAAATACAAATACCCCGCACCGTCCAAGGCCTGTGCTGTCGTGTAATGAAGCAGTTACTATTATTTATTATTATTATTACTTTTTAAAAAAGGACTTTTTTAAAAAAATTCCCCTAATATTAATATTCCTACGATGAGTTTGAACTAAGTAGCTAAATATTTTGTATAAATTATTGTGTGTATTATGTTTTGTGGTACCGTACTGTATACATGCATGTCTGCATGTAGGGTTTTTTTTTTTTTTTTTCCCTCCTCCTAGAAGGCACCTTAGAAATAGGATCACTATACCGAAACCCCCTCTCATATTCAATTTATATCTAAACCATTTTTAAACTGGATTTTTATTTCAATCAACCGCCTTTCCGTCAAAATCTTTATCCGAAATATGAAAATGTTTTTAGAAAGCTTACATTCAAGACGCCCGACTCACTTTCTTGATATTTAATTCTAGTTAGGACACGAAGCACGTACCTTGTACGTGTAGCTTTTCCATGATCATATTGTTAAGGTGGTTTCCAGCGGGGGAAAAAAAACCTTTTGTGAATAGGGTACTAGAAGTTGGTAACGTGTCCCTGACATAAAAACGTGCTTGATCTTGATGTTTTGGGCTGGCCGGGGACAGGTAGGCTCGATGAATGAATGGCAGCATAAATAGCGCGGTTATATATTTCATAAGGCACCCCTATCAGCTCAACTCCGTTGTTGAGCTGAGCTGAGAGCCACGGCGTAGTGATCTACGGACTTCAAACATGTATGCATGACCAACGAAGAAACATAAATAGATTTTAAAGGAAATGAAGAAAAAGCACCACGCTCGCTCCACTGCTCTCGTGAGCAACTTCCAGTCTTGACGACCTTATTGTTACTCGTCTGTTGATACAATACCTCGACATGTCAAATTATAATTCAGATGAAATGAGAAACAGACTCCATTTGCCAAAAACAAACCTCAAAAAATTAATTAACAGACGGAGAAAACCATTGAATCTTCTCAAGCAGCACAAAATTAGAAAGAAAGAGCCAGACAGAAGGCCGTCTTAATACAGCAGAGTTGATTTCACCCCCACAAACTCTTTACAAGGAAAAGTGATTGATTAACCTTCCAAGTAGCGGAAGGAACAGCAAAAGATATCCGAAAGGAAAGGGGAAAACACAAGCGACATTTGGATGCAAGACAAACTGCAAGTTCCTACATTTCTGCATCATCATTTGATATTACGAAAAAGGAGCCCCGGCAGCTTTATCATCTTCATCCCCATCTCCAAACTCGTAGCTGCTGAAGTGCTTCACTCTGAATTTCCATTCACCCTTCACTGCATCGTATGACACAAACTCAGCTCCCTGCTCCTCTGCCTTCTTGATAAGCATTTCTTTGTACTTCTCAACTTTGGGGCCCTCAGTGTACTGCTGCCCCGTCTTCTTGTTCACGCATTTGATGTTAAGAAGAGTTACCTCAGCTGCCTTATTCAGCCCCTGCCCAACTGCAGGTTTCTTGCTCTCATCCTTGTACACAACAACTTCTCGGTGGTTGAACAGGACAATGGCCTCCAGATCAAGCCTTCTCACATCAGTTTCTCCCAAAAACTTTATGCTACCGAAGCCCCGCCTTCCCACCACAAAGTCCTTCACTCGGCGACAAAACCCAGGTTCTGCCCTCTCTTTGGCGGCAAGCTCTTGGATCCGTGGCTCTGTGTAGTAGTCAGCATGGCGGAGCTTGGGCATCAGAGCCTCAATTCCAGCTCCATGCTCATAGACAATGGCAGCTTCACCAGCCCTGTGCCCGGATATTTTGATATATGACATATCCGTCTCCTTCTCAGAATGGTTATCCTGAGAAACCCCGTTTGCCTTCTCAGCAGTCTTGGATGGTGATGATGATGTATGGCCATTATTTTGTTCCTCAGCGTGGCCATTTTGCTTAGGGCTCTCTGCATGACAACATAGGTTACAGAGTACAGGGAAAAAGTACCCAAATAATGACTTAATTTGCACCTTACAGATTCTGTTTTCTACATCCTTTTAAGAGAGAATCTATAGAAATAAAAATTCATAAAAACCGCAGGAGGCATAAATCTAGAACAGGGACATGAGACTGGGTTGTTAATACTCAAAAGTTACGACCACTATTTTAGCCACCTATGTTTTTCATACACCTAATTCATGAAAATATTTCGCTGACCACAAAGCTCCAAACATCATGGAACAACAGAAAGGAGAAACGAAATCCGAGCAATAAAGCTTACCATCATGATATTTCTGAGACATTTCATCTAGAACTGGAGCACTTGGCTCTCCTGACACTTTGCCTGAATGAGAAAGGTGGCACTTGTCAGTGAAACTATATAGATTGACGCCTCTATAAACTGGAATTGAGGATGAGAAACAGAAGAACGCAAAGCAAGACATAAAATTGGTTCCAAATATAACTATGTTCAGAGTAAAACAGGGCGTGGGTACATGACAATGACGATCTAAGAAACAAAGATAGGACATGAACACTTGGTTTCACTGAATATTATGTGCTACCAGTGTATGGTATTACATAATCTGAAAATCCAGAATATGAATATATGGAGGATACGACAAAAGTCACAGCGCACAATAAGTTCAGAGTGAAAGGGGAACGCAAGTACAGAATAAAGCACTTCAGTAGTTTTCACTTCTGCTTAAATACACTAAATAGTTTCAAAATACCATGTTTCTGCAGTTTCAAGTCCCCTTCAATGATAAACAAGGGGGAAAGAACGTCACTACGAACAGCTAACCAGCATTTTACTGACAATTTGACTTGTGCTGCATGATTAGGAGATATTTATGCAATTTATGGAAAAAGATATTCAAATAGGTTAAATTGTCATTTTAAAATTTTCATTAACTTCTCTTTAAAGAATGTTTTATATCGAAAGAACCAGATGCAAAAGGAACGAAGATATCTCAAACTTTTGAAATGGACTACGTGTATCATTTTTCATCATTTACCTCTATTAGAGTATTCCTGTATTATGAAAGCAAGAGAAGTTCTCATTTGGTGGCTCCTTGGAACAATGTGTAACTATAGTTTTTCGTTTCACATATATGAAATCTGATTATATATAAACAAATATGAAACCATCTTAAAGATAAATGGTGGAGAAAAATATGCTAAAAAAGACGCAAGAGAGAACCACCATAAAATATCATATGCACATAGAATGGAAACACGCAATTGCTTTTACCATTTCCATTTAATGGTGAGTCTTGAGGTAGCTTCGACGCATTAGGTCTTAAGGGCCACTGTTCAATTGGACGAATAATCAATGATCTTGGATTCACCCTTGGGATAAATAGAGCATCTGCCTTGGGTGTTGCTGTTGCTGATTCATCATCGCTGAAGAATGGTACCTGCAGAGAAGAAAGTTTTTTAACAATTTTATTTTATATATTAAAAACCCAATGATTCAACGGAATTGAATGGATATTATAAAGAAAAACATCTAAACAGAACTGCATTCTAACTACAAGAGAGTTCTAACCATTTGACCATCAACTTTAGGATGATATTTTCTTGCTGGAAGCCTAATTCTCCTCTGAGACAAATGCCTAGGAGTCAGCAAGGCCGAAATTCTGACTGGAGCTGGCTTTTCAGAAACCTGAAAGAGAAAAAAATCAAGCAACTATCTAACAGATGCATCATCATACTCATAACATGGTGACCAACATATAACATAATTCATTGGCCATTCGAACAAAGGAAAAGGATATTTGACCATCTACTTCCAGATGACTAAATAACTTCAGATGAGCTTACAGGCATGCTAGAAATCCCATACTGAACTGAAGGCGCAGAACCAACACGACCAATGGACATATGAGGCATTGCTGGAAGTGTTCCAAAAGGATTTGTCACAGGAGCAGGTTGCATGACCACATTAGACTGAGTTGCAACACTGCTAGGGAAGAAAAGCACATTGGAAAAAGAATATCTAAAGAACAGAAAAGGTAATGATATACAAGATATTTAGACTCAAGACTTGAAAATGAAGGACATCATCAAAACATAGAAAATAATTTGACTATTTCAGGGAACAAATAACTAACTTCAACTCAATTTGGTGTCAGCACTTCCTACATATAAACAAGAAAGCATATAGTCCAATTTTCAGGGAATAAATATAATGGGATACCAATAGTTCTCCTGAATGCTTTTTTTATTTATTTACAATTGTCCAGATAGGGAAAGCGATCTGACAAAAAGTACTTAAAAGGGGGAAACAATGACAAAAAGTAACATATATTTTATTAATTATAAAAAGGTAAGATGTTTAACTCCACCAGTGCTATTTGTCAACACTGCCTGTCTAAGCCAGGATAAAGGAGGAGGATTGTGTTAGGTAGCCGACATCCAGCATAAAACATAGTTGGATCCACATGTAAAATGAATCCTATTATATACTCGTTGGGGCGTCCCCTCCGTGACGCGTTGCATCGTTCTCACCTCGATGCAAATGATAAGTAAGCAATGGTGGTTTGCTAGGGCGTCCCCCGAAAGCGACGCATTACCTTGATGTCACACCGGTGTAATGACAAGTAAGCAATGGTGTTTTAAGAATCTACAATCCTCTAATAGGGTACATACTACCTAATAGTATTAGGCATAGATTAGAACGGTCTAAGAAGGAAAATGGTAGGAGACTTTTACAAGAAAATAGAATTACATTAGCTACTTGGAATATATGTACACTTACCAAAAAGACAATAAAATTAGTGGATGTCATGATTAGAAGAAAGATAAATATAATTTGTTTATAAGAAACTAAATAGATAGGTGAAAAATCTAGAGAAATTGAAAAGACCAGATATAAACATTGGTACACAGGAAAAGAGAAGAATAGGAATGGAGTGAGAGTTCTTGTAGATAATATAATAAAAGAAAGTTTTGTAGATGTAAGAAGAGTTGAAAATAGAATAATACTAATAAAAGTTGTCTTAGGTGTAGAGGTTATTAATATTATTAGTACTTACGCACCACAAATAGGCTTGCCCGAGTACTAAAAGAAAATTTTGGGATAGATTAAATGAATTAGTACAACGACTCCTATTTGGAGAGAAATTATTTATAGGAGGGGATCTTAATGGGTATGTTAATAAGGACAATAATGGATATGAGAGGATAAATGGAGGTTTCAAGTATGGAGATAAGAATGATATGGGTAAATTTATTCTATAATTTGTAATATCGTATGATTTGATAATAACAAATTCACTTTTTAGAAAAAGGGATGAACACTTAATAACCTTTAAAGTGGTTTTAATAATAGTCAAATAGACTTTTTTCTTACTAGAATGGCAGATAGGTTAATATGCAATGATTGTAAAGTTATACCAGGAGAGTTTAAGTACACAACATAGGTTGATAGTCTTAAACATATCTATTAAAAAGTGAAGTAGAAAAACTAACGTGAACAAAAGACTAAGAACTAAATAGTGGAATTTAAAAGGAGAGAATTTAATACATTTTAAAAATAAGATAATGAAAGAATATATATGGAACATAGATAATGAGACTAATATTATGTGAAATAACATATCTTCTTGTATTAGGAAAATGGCTAAAGATATACTAGGAGAATCTAAAGGTTGTAGATTAGACGGTAAGAAGAGTTGGTGATGGAATGAGTGTGCAAAAGGTTATTAAAGAGAAGAAAACTTTATATAAAGAGTGGCAAAAGTGTAGGAGTAGGGGAAACTTAGAAAAAGAAAAACTAGTAAGACACTTCATCTAGGCTCCCGTATCTACATTCTTGTTCGTGTCCTATGTTGTACGGGTACGGGTACGGGTACGGGTACGGGACACGGCAAATTTGTAAAAAGTAGGGTACGGGGACACGGTTGTATATATATAAAATAATTCACTTTAGATCCATATTGAATTAAATACCTATTACATTTTCATTTTTTTTGTTATGTAAATAGAGATTATAAACAAAAAACTAAAGAATTTGTTATGTTACAGGTGTGAATTAAGACGTCGGGATGACAATGATCTCTAGGAGAATTGAAGACAAAAATGTTAAAGAAGACAAGAAAGAGGAGGAACATATAGAAAAATAGATCAATTTGTATATTATATACTTATATTATTATGTAACATTGGCTTGTATAATCAATGACAAATGTAAGTTATGTAACTGATTTGAAGATAATATCAAATTCTAATTTTCATTACTTTCATCTTGAGCATACAAAAATACAAGTCTACCTTGCAAAACGAGAGTTAAAAATTACAAGCATACCTTCACAAGTTAGAACAATACCCCAAAATATTACAAATTTACAAGCATCCCTCAAAATATTACAAGTATATTGTTTAAAGTTGCAAATATACCTCCAAAAGTTAGATCTATATCCCAAAAACTTACAATTCACTAGCATATTCCAAAAGTTAGATCTATATTCCTTGCACCGGTTAGAAGACAATCAACATTCAACATTTTCATACTCATTAAATACAACGGTCTCAAGCTCCGGCTCGTCAAGAGAAAGGTTTGCAACTTCTAAAATATCGACACCATTGAATGATTCAAATTCATCTCCTCCTATGTCCCACATCTTTGTCTCCTCATTAGAGTATTCCGAGGATCTCCTAGAAAGAAGACGGAGATTTGTGTGAACATATACCAAATCTTCCGCTCGTTGTGGAGTCATCTTATTCCTCTTAAGAGAATGAATAAATTTATAAGTGCTCCAATTTCTCTCACAACAAGAAGAGGAACAAGGATGTCCAATCAACTTTAATGCTAACTCTTGCAATTTTGGTGTAGATGTTCCATAGATAACCCACCAAGACTTTGCATCTATTTTCCCCCTATCATCCAAAGAGTCATGATCCGCAAATATACTTGTGCGGCGGAAAATTTAGCAAATTCCACATTAACCATTCTCCGCTCCTCGGAGTTAGGAAAATAACTCTTCAAACATTTAGTTCTTTCATTTGAGATCTCGGGATCCATGTGTGGTGCAACCCGGTTTGGAGCTTCAATGAGCCAAGTCGCGCTAAAATATCTACAAGATAGAAAAACATTCATAAATAATATCAACTATTATAGTCTAACCAATGTAGATTAAAAGTTTATTTGAGGAAAAAAATGCTCACTTTGGGTTTAGTGAATGAGCTAAGCAATGTAATGGTGTATTGCTCTTATTCCACCGATCAACAAGGATAGTATGTACCACATTGTAAAATGATGAATATTCATCATCTCTCTTGCCTTCTTTTTGATAAATGCAATTCTTTAATTTTTCAATCATAGAATCCCACATGTCATAAACTAATTCAATCATAGAATCCCACATATCATAAACTAAGTGAAGATTTGACTTGTCGGTGTCGGCGGATCGAACCATGTTATAGATTGGCTCGGTAAAAGAGATAATATATTCTATTTTATCCCACCAAATATCATCCAAAATTTTGTCCTTAACAAATTGAGCCCTCCCAACATTATCATCTCGATAAAGACTCCAACTCTCACTAATGACCATGTCCATAAGACCACGTTTGATCTTCTTGAATCGTCGCAACATGATAACCGAAGCAAAACGAGTTTCGGCGATAGCAAGCATTTTTAACTTCACATGTTCATTGAACATTGACAATCTCATGGAATGATTCATTATGAAGTTTCTTATAACAACATCATCGCTAACTTCGTTGATCCAACTACATTCCTCATACACCACCTCATTTCTTTAGGTATTCTTCATCGCACAAATGTTTTTTAAAGAAAGATTTGAGTGTGTGGACAACACATGGAGTCCAAAAAATATGAGGATGTCTTCCTTGCACAATGGATCCCGCGGATTTGCAAACCGGTGCACTATCGGTTATGACTTGTACAACATTATGAGGACCAACCTCTTCAATGGCTTTCAAGAGAATATCGGCTATATAATCCATATTTTTAGTCCTCCCCTCCGCATTGACGGCATTCAAGAACATCGTTCCATCTTCGGTCACCGCCATCACATTAATAAGAGGCCTTCTTTGTGAGTCGGACCATCCATCGCTAACAATAGAAACACCCTTTGCTTTCCACGTTAATTTTATGGGCTCTAATAACTTCTCGATATGTGCCCTTTCTTTTTGTAAGAGGCTTGTTCTTAGAAGATTGTATCCGGGAGGGATATAACCTCCAAGTGCATTGCTTGTGGCATATTTAAAAGCTTCAATGAAATATGGATTTCTTGCCAAATTGAATGATAAACCCCCCGTGAAAAACATTCGGGCAATGAGACCATGTAGGTGATCTCGGGCTCCACGATTAAATGATTGTTCTATGGTGTTCCCCTCACTTCTTCTCTTCTTAGCAACTTCTTTTGTGGTGGTGGTTGTTGACGTAGGTAATGGAACACTTTTGCCCTTCTTTGCCTTCAATCTAAGCTCCGCTAGCTCCAACACTTTCTTCATCTCAACAATATTTTCATTCTTCACATTTGCACAACACTTGATTCCAAATAATGGATGTCTTAAGAGATGTGCTTTTACTCTTGAATGAGAACTCTTAAAAGTTTCAAGACAATAATTGCATTGCCATTCCCAATTTCCACCACCTCCCGTTGCTTTTCCAAGTTTTGTGACATATCTCCAAAGAGGAGCACTATCATCCTCTAGCTCACTTTGTGAAATGAAATATGGATTTCTTGCCAAATTGAATGATAAACCCCTAGTGTAAAACATTCGTGCAATGAGACCATAGAATTCTTTTTATTTCTCTATTAGTGTTGGTTCCCATAATGCAAAACATTGTCTCTTCTTTAACACAATGTTTCTTATTATTGTTTCAGATACAGCAAGCAGACATAGTAAAAAAAACCAAACAATTTACTTTTGTATTATATCATATCATAATGTCCTAGCAGTTTTCTTGATCTCCTTTTGTATTAATATCAAATCATGTTTATTAGTCATAAACTCATAATTAAATTCAGCCCCCTATATATGTTCGGGAAAAACCAAAACAGCCCCAAGGCCCCCAGCTCTCATCTCATCGGAGGGAAAAGGAGAAAAAAAAGAGAAAAAAGGGCGCTGGATCTCCCTGTCGAGGAAAAAGGAGAAAAGGGGGCGTCGATGTTGCTGTCGAGGAAAAGGGAGAAAAGGGGGGAAAAAAGCAAAAACGAAACCCTAAAAACCATAAATCAAACCTTGTCTTCGAGCAGAGGAGTCGTCGAGGAGCAGGATTCGTCGTTGAGGCGCTGAAATCGCTTCGTCGAGGAGTTGATTTCGTCGGAGGAGGAGCAGTACTCGTCGTCGAGGCGCTGAAATTTCTTCGTCGAGGCTCTGATTTGCTGTCGAGGAGTTGAGTTCGTCGTCGTCGGAGCAGGACTCGTCGTCGAGGCGCTGATATTGCTTCGTCGAGGCTCTGAGTTCGTCGTCGAGGAGTTGAGTTCGTCGTCGAGGAGCAGATTCGTCGTCGAGGAATGGGATCGTCGAAGGTGGAGAAGGCAGTATCGCTTCAGAGGTAAGGGTTTTCGAAGTGGGCTTGGGCTATTGGGCTCAAATAGTTGACGATCGGTCCTGTTTCAAAATTTCAGCGATGATTTTTTTTTTTGCGCGAGACGAGCCGTGTCCCTGCCGTTTGGGTGCGGATCCGCACCCAAAACGTACCCGACACGGGTACGGGGCCTCAAACGAAGTGTCGGGGTATCATAGGTTAGAATAAATACAAAGCTTATGAAATTTTTTATAAGAAGTTAGAATCTGAGAAGGGAGAGAAAGATATATACAAGCTTGCTAAGATTAGAGAAAGGAAGAGTAGAGATTTGAGTAATATTAGGTGTATTAAAAGTTAGGATCAATGAGTTCTAATGACCAACAGGGAAATAAAAGAGAGGTGGAGGGGTTACTTTTATCAATTATTTAATGATAATTAAGCAAGTGAGCAAAATAGAGATTTTGACCATATAGTGAATGATAGAAACTATAGATATTGTCGTAAAATTAGGATTAGTGAGGTTAAAGATGCTCTAGAGAAAATAAAAAATGAACGAGCCGTAGGACCGGACGATATCCATATTGAAGTTTAAAAATGTCTTGGAGATATAGACTTAGGATGGTTAACTAAACTATTTAATAAGATTATCTGGAGGATTAGTATTTTAATACCGATATATAAGAATAAATAGGATATACAAAATTGTTCAAATTATCGAGGTATAAAACTCATGAGTTATACTATGAAAATTTGGGAAAGGATAATTGAGCAAAGACTAAGAAAAGAGACATGTATATCTGAAAATCAATTTGATTTTATGTCTGGGAGGTCAACTATGGAACCTATACATATTTTGAGACGGTTGATGGAGAGAGATAGAAAGAAGAGAAATGATCTACATATGATTTTTATCGATCTAGAAAAAGCTTACGATAAAGTACCTATAGAGGTAATTTGGTGGGTGTTAGAAAAGAAACATGTATCTAGTATATATATTAATGTGATTAAAGATATGTATAATAGAGTAACAACTAGAGTAAGAACTAATGAAGGAGAGACTAAATCATTTCCTATTCCATAGGTTTACACCAATGGTCAGTTTTAAGTCCTTATCTTTTTGTATTAGTTATGGACCAACTTACTAAGCGTATTCAGGATGAAATCCCGCCAAGGGTCAGTTTTAAGTCATTATCTTTTTGCATTAGTTATGAACCAACTTACTAAGTGCATTCACGATGAAATCCCATGGTGTATGTTATTTGCTGATGATATAGTATTGGTTAAAACTAGAAGAGGTATTATTTTTAAAGTAGAAAGATGGAGATAAGATCTTGAGTCTAAAGGTTTTAAAATTAGTAGAACAAAAACAGAATGTATAGAATGCATTTTAAATAAAAGTAGGAAAGAAAGAGTTTATGATACATATTGATGGCCAAGAAATACCTAAATTAATCATTTTCGCTATTTGGGATCTATCATTAGGCATGATGGTGAGACATAGGATGTTGTTATGCATCAAATCAAATTGGGATGGTTGAAATAGAGTGCTTCGGGAGTATTATGTGATCGTAGAATATCAATAAAACTGAAGGAAAAATTCTATAGGATAGTTATAAGACTAACTATGCTTTATGGGTCAGAATGTTAGGCAATTAAAAAACATGTTCAAAAAATAAGTGTAACAAAAATGAGAACGTTACGGTGGTCTTGTGGGTATATATTAAAAGATAGGATAATAAATGAATGCATCCGTAGTAAATTAGAGGTTGCACCTATTGAGGATAAAATGAGAGAGAATATATTAAGATGGTTTGGTCATGTGCAAAAGAGACCCCTTAGTGCACCGATTAGGAAAAGTGATAATATTAGAGTTAATGGGGCTAGGAGATCTAGAGGGCGACCTAGAATGACTTGGTCAGAAGCAATTAAGAATGATATGATTAAGACTAACGTAACGAAGGAAATGACCCGCAACAGAATGGAATGGAAAAATGAGAACGTTACAGTGGTCTTGTGGGTATACATTAAAAGATAGGATAATAAATGAATGCATCCGTAGTAAATTAGAGGTTGCACCTATTGAGGATAAAATGAGAGAGAATAGATTTAGATGGTTTGGTCATGTGCAAAAGAGACCTCTTAGTGCACCGATTAGGAAAAGTGATAATATTAGAGTTAATGGGGCTAGGAGATCTAGAGGGCGACCTAGAATGACTTGGTCAGAAGTAATTAAGAATGATATGATTAAGACTAACGTAATGGAGGAAATGACCCGCAATAGAATGGAATGGAAAAATAGGAATCATGTAACCGACCCCAAACATTTGGGATAAAGACTTGGTTGTTCTTGTTTTTGTTGAAAAAGGTATGATGTTTCAATTTATCTGTCATGGTGCCCTTTCTCTTCAATATTTGTTTCCCCAGTCCATAAGAACCTGGCGCATGCAAACTGTTATGTCAAGACTATGTCAAAACACCTTCTGCCCATAGTCTCCTCAGCTATGTGGAGCATCCAGAGGAAAGATTGATGTCAGGTTGACAGCTAATATTAGAATCTAGACAAACCTTTCATGCTATTATGATGGGAAAAGACAAGATGATGATGCCTTACGTTAGAATATTTCTTAGTATAAGAAAAGTTTGTAGCTTTTGCTTGACGAACATTTAGTACTATGACCTACAAAATTTTTCTTCATCTCCCACAGCTATGAATCTGGACCAATTAGAAGTTCAGCCTAAAGGTTGACGGTCAGCAAAGCTGGAGAAGTTTCATCAGAGCCCTATCAAAAGAGTATTCCACGAGATAGGTAGCCCTTTTTTGATAGGAAAGGCCAAAAGGGCAATGATAATTACTAAGAAACACTTTCACGGTTAAGAAATGACAAAGTAAATTTTTTTTAATGGAACAAATGAGTAGCCACAAAAAATATGTTACAAAGGACAATAAAAGACTAAAAGTAATGAGGTAGTAATTCTCCATCGATTTTTTCAGCTAAAAGTGTTGGTTAATTTGAAAGAAAAACTCCGAGCTACAAGTTCGAGTCAAATCTTAAGAAAGCCATGATAGTTCATCCACGAGATACATAAACTTTCAACAAAATTTCATATAAGTTCGCCCAGATTTTCTATGCATTTAGATTTGTTGCTTCAATACCTTAATTTTGATACTATAAATAAGAGACAGGGAAAAGGACATACGATTGACCGAATGTTCCCTGACCAAAGATACTTGAGGAGCCTCCAAAACCACCTGATAGTGCTGAAGTAACAAATGAATGTAAGAAAACAAGGCAGCAATGTTAAAGCAAGAAGAAAAAGGACATACACAAACAGTGTTAAAAGCACTTGCCTGGCTGCGTCTGCCCAAAATTACTAAAGGTTTGAGCAGGTGCAGACGGTTGGAAAGGAGTTGATAGAGAAGGCTGCAAAATTAAAAGTAATCCAACATCAACTATAAGATTCATAAAGCACAGGACTGGAAAGCCTAGAAAGGAAAACTGTTACATGAAATGATAAGCATAGATAACAACATAAATAAATTATTTGCAAGCATAAATATACATTGCTAGTTTTCGAGAAGACAGAAAAGGCATTAAATTTACTTACAGTTGTCTGACCAAAACCCATAGGAGTGCTTGTAGAAAGTGCTGAAGATGAGCTGTTAAAAAGGCCTCCGCCAAATCCAGATGATGGCGTACTGAACAAACTTGAACCAAAAGCTGGTGTTGACTGCTGAAAACCAGTTGATTGTCCAAAAGGAGACGGTGTTTGCCCCAGAGATGGAGTTGTGGACTGAAATAGTCCTGAGGATTGAGTATTGCCGAAGTTCAGCCCAGAACTAAATGTTGAAGTCGACCCAGCTGTCGAACCAAAAAGTGACGGAGAACTAAAAGCAGAAGTCGTCGTTCCACCAAAAAGGGATGGTGAAGAACTAGAACCAAATGGAGTGCTACTAGGAGCTCCAAATAATGAAGTTGTTGAAGATGTTGATCCAAAAGGGCTGGATGATGAAGAACCAAATGTTGAGCCAAAAGGTGATGGGGATGAGGCACCAAAGCCAGATGAACCAAAAGATGGAGTTTTAGGCGCGAAGGGGTTCGATGACGTAGTAGAGGAAAATGGGTTTGCAGCAGGCTGACCAAATGTCGCTGTAGATCCAAATGGGTTTGCTTGTGCTTGAGCAGGAAAAGAAATAGCACTTGCTGGTTGTCCGCTAGGACTGGGACCACCTGAAACGTAAAGGCATAACATAAAGAACAAGTTTATAATATGTGAGAAGACAAACTCAACTTCTATAGTCTACCAATGAACAAGCAGTTTGCAAGTGTGACCCATTCACACTTACTCACGCATGGGAGCACAAAAGAACAAACATAATGTTGAAGGCACAGGTAGACTGCGTACTAATACTAATTCATCTAAGCACCTTAAGAATTGTCTGTGACCAGTTCAGAAACCACAGCCAGAACAATTAAACATAGGTCTTCTAGCTTACTCCGCAATAACGATACATCAAGAATAGTCTAATATGATTATATTTTTAAAGAGCTTTCTCCCATTGAACAGGTATTAAAATCAAAAACATAGTTTAACAACACGCACGCATTCGCACCTTTAAATGTGTGGATGAGAAGCATCCACGTCACTACCAAGCACCAATTTTGTGGTACCAAGTATACTCCTGCCCCAGTTTAAATAAGTGGTACCAAGCATACTCATTTTTAGCTTTAAATGATCTTAGTTTTAAAGACCTTTCTCATCCACACATTTAAACTTTCCCACTTGAAAATGGGCCCCACTTGTTTACTCACCCATTGAATGAGCGGATGAGAAATGGTCACCTCACTACCACACACCAAATTTGGTGCTTGGTACCAAGCATACCCAATTTTTCTCGCATACACACACATATGTATATATGTATATGTTTATACATACATATATGTAACACATATACATACATACATGTACCTATATTTATACGTGTAAAGAATATTTCAGGCAGTGATACAAGGGTTGTTCATTAACACTAGTAGCCGAAGAATAGAAGATTGCTATACCAATCTTAAAACTCGATTATGTTTACCTTTATCACCACGTTGATAATCTTCCCATCTCAACTCCTCATGACTTTTATCTTTGTATGCAGGCATGGCCGATATTGACTCCAGCTTCCCAGCAGGCTGTGTACCAGCATCAGCCTCTTGTGTTGCAGAATAAGGTACTACTCGACTTCCTTGTTGGCTGCCAAAACCTGATTGGCCAAAACCTTGACTACCAAAAGCAGGTGTGGGTGTCTGAGTACCTGCATTTATACATAACCATCAACCCTTGTCTAAATTATTCGAGCATCCTTATAAATTCTTCTTGCGCCATATATGAATAAACCATGTTTAACCTCAAGAGAAAAGACATTTGACATAGGAAATTTAGAAAAGCAACGGGAAAATGTAAGGATCAACTAAAGCAGACAACAAGGATGAGAAATTGAATGAACCAAATGTAGAATACATAATGCAATAAAAAATTTTGGCCATATGCTGACATTATGTATCTAATAGGTAGAATTAGTGGGAATTTACCAAACGAGGAACTCTGAGTACCAAAAGGCGATGGTGTTGCTCCAAATGGCGTGCTCCCAAATGTAGAAGCTGACTGACCAAAAGACGGTTGGGAACCAAAACTGAAGGAAGGAGCACTTGATGCACCAAAAGCAGGGGTACTCGAAGACCCAAACGTGGGGGTACTAGTTGCGCCAAATGCTGAAGTACTTGAAGATCCAAACAAGGAGGTGCCAGGAGCACCAAACCCTGATGATGTTGTAGAACCAAATGCTGGAGTACTTGAAACCCCGAAAGCAGATCCTGTGCTACCAAACAATGGAGTTGATGAGGACCCAAATGCTGGAGTACTTGCAGCACCAAATGCTGGGGTACTTGTAGAACCAAAGGCTGGCGTACTTGAGGCACCAAAGGCTGGGGTACTTGAGGCACCAAAGGCTGGGGTTGATGCTACACCAAATGCAGGTGTACTTGATGAACCAAAAGCTGGTGTGCTGGCAGCACCGAATGCAGGTTGACTTGAAGCACCAAACGTGGTGGAACCAAAAGGACTGCTTCCGAATGCTGGTTGTGTTTGCTGGAATGAACTACCAAATGGGCTTGATTGACTAGGAGTTGACCCAAATCCTCCAAAGGCTGGTTTCTGCCCAAACACAGATGAACCTACGAAAATACAGAATAATCCAAACAAACATGTTTGAGAAAGATACGAGATAACGAAAATTACATTCTTACATACGAGAATTGAGCATCCATGGTAATATGGTAATAGAAAGGAAAACAGTCAACCACTTATTCATTGTACACCACTGCACCTTCAATTTTAATTTCTTGTCCAAATATCTAATAAATATAATGAAGCATCTTGATGAGAAGTTCAGGGCAAGTCCAAAATCTGAGGTCGAACAAGACGTTTTTCTTATGAGACTTGAATTTACCAGGTGCTAGGAACCCTGAACGCTAGTATATACTGCACCAGCTACAAAACAATAGTACGAAAGCCTCATTTAGCTTGTGATTTACCAAACTTGTGTAATGTGATGATTCTTCAATACCTTACAGGTTTAATCCTTGATGAGAAATTTGCCTAGCCCCAGGTCATGGAAAACATAACTTTTAGAAGAAGGGCTAAGGATTATCTTGGATGGTTGGGCAGGGAAATCTTATGTTTGACTATTAGGTGAAAATACTGAAGGACATCTTCCCTTAGGCAGCATATTCAGGTTCAGGTCAAGCAAAGGGGATAATCCACAGGAAACCGCATGCCCAAACAAAGGGATGTTACCCAATAATAAGTATTAAGCAGGTTCAGGCATCCAGGAGCCACTTAAGCAGCCACTAGGATCACCTATACTGCTTAACTGAAACATGCCTTAGGTTTTTGCCACGTAAGCAACCTCCTAAGCATCCACATAGACCGAATTTCCAAAAGTGGCAATGGTGAACAAGGATGTAGTTAAATCAAATGAAGCCTGTAGAAAAGCCTCGCTTATGTATTAAATAAGTATGATACCATATGCTTGTCAAACTACAGCTACTCAAACTCTGCCATGCATTTGCACGCTAGCATTATAGTATAATACTTACTACCAAAGGAAGAGGATGAACTGCCAAATGCAGGTGTTGACGGAGCACCAAAGGATGGCATTGAACTTCCAAAAGCGGGTGATGAGGAAGCACCAAAAGCTGGCGTGCTAGAAGGCGCTCCAAATACTCCAGTTGATGTGCCAAACATTGAGCTCCCTGTCGGAGAACCAAATGGATTTGAAGAGCCGAATGGTTTCGGAGCAAACGGACTAGTAGTTGAACCACTTGTTTGCCCAAACACCGACGGGGAGCCGAAAGGGCTACTCGAGGACTGCCCGAATGCTACACAAGGGGAACAGACGGGATGCATAAGACAAGAGATACAAACCATACAGGCCGTGAACAAAAAACTATGTCAAAAGAAACGGCATCAACCAAAAATTCCAGAACACTAAAGCTTATTCAAAGCCGGCAGAGCGTAAACGCAATATTAGGCTCTGAAAAACACGCTAATTGAAGAAAAAAATGTAAACTTGGACCTAACAAACAAGGTGAAATCTCGACATCACAATAACAGCAGAACAGGGATAAAGATAAGACACGAAATCTGCCAGACAGACGCGAAGGTGCAGCCGATTATATCAAAACCAGGAGCCGATCCGAACTTACAAGGACCAGTGACGCGAAACAAAATGCACCAAAACATCAAATCCAAGCTCGGCGGGGGGAAAAAAGAAAACCCTAATTGATATTCACACTAACAGGACCCAAAGAACAGATCGCAATCCAATTTAACTCATTCACTAATCAGGCAATCGAATCTAAAAGGAAAAAGAAGAAGAAGGGGAAAAAAAACCCGAGCGATCGAAACTACTTACGATTCGTGGAACCGAACATTTATGGATTCGTCTTCTTCGATCGGTCGGCTGCTGCTATCAAGAATACTGCAAAAGAGGTATGTGTGCGTGTGAGAGAGTTGAATCTAAACCCTAGAGTGTCTGTTCAAAAGCAAAATCGAGGGTTGGACGAAATTAGGATGGCAGTAGTAACAACGACGACGACAACAACAATAAATATATAAAAACTAAAACCGGTACCTCGTCGAGCACCGCGCTTTTGATCTGAAACAAGAAGAAGACTAGGGCGCACGACAAGTGATTTAAGTTTTACTAATCTTTACAATTCTAATTTGAGGTTAATAAAGAGACGGTGGGGCTTTAGATTGAATTTTATCAGAATGAATGGGATCAGAAACCGGGGGAGGCGTGACGGAGGAAAGGATCGATCTGATCGATCGACCGATCGAGCGAGAGCTGTTACAGAGAGCGGGGCGGTTTTTGAGGATTCGCTCCTGCACGCGAGCGAGGACGGCCCAATGTATGTAGATGCTTGAAGAAAACCCTTGCTTTTGGCAGCACTTATATTTTTTTTTTTTAAGTTTTCTAAAATCCTCGTTCTAATGCCATCGGTTATAAGCAAATATGAGAGAGTTTTTCCGAAAAATTCTCATGTGACGTGCTAATTTTAGAAATACATTTTAACTCTTGACTTTTACTAAATTTACAGTTGATCTATCAAAATTCTATTTTAAAACAAAATCCAACTATAGATTTAAAAGAATTGTAGTAGTTTTAACTATAAATTTTAATAAAAAAATTATAGGTTAAAAGTTCTAAAATAAGCATGTGAGTTTGCATGAGAGTTTTTAAGGCAAATTCTAGTATTTACCTGATTCAGGGTATTTAACTGCAAATTTTATAAACTTTAGTGTGTAAACTGCTACCAAAAATAATTGAGGGTATGTAAGTCCAAAGTAAGTATAAGGTATTTAAGTGAAATTAAGCCATAGATATAAGGAAAAATTGCTTCAATGCCCCAAAAACAGAGTTTTCAAGTGGCCCAGCACCAGGTATTTTGGCCTATATGCTAAACCCCTTAAAAATCGGAAATAATGTGACTGGGCCCTAAGATAGCTTCTCTCACCCGTATTTACACCTAGAGACCCGAAAATACCCCTCACTTTCTCTCCCAGTCTCGAAAACGAGATCCAATTGCTGGAGATCGCTTCCCGTCGCAATTAAGGCGAAGTGATGGCGATTTTAGGGGGAAGTTAGGCGGTTTCCCTCCATTATATCTCCTCTTAACACACTCTTCTTTGAATAGAGTTCATTTATGTGGAAAAGGCACATTTATGAACTTAGGGCTTAAGATCTTCAACCCCTTCTTTGAATAGAGTTCATTTATGTGGAAAAGGCACATTTATGAACTTAGGGCTTAAGATCTTCAACCCCCTGCTTGTCCTAACGTTCCCTTCATTAGTAAGGCACATTTATGAACTTAGGGCTTAAGATCTTCAACCCCCTGCTTGTCCTAACGTTCCCTTCATTAGTACTCTTAAATCCCCTTTATTTATGGCAGAGAAACCCCTGGTTTGCATGGTGTCCTTGGGTGAGAAAGCAGTGTTCTCAAGGGTAACGTGTGTTGTGAACACGTGGGGGCCCACCCACGTGAACGTGTTTGTTGCCCGCATGAAGAGGTCTTTAACCGCTGGATGTTATCCTTTAAACCCCTGGATGTTATCCACGAACGTGTTTTGACACACCCCACGAACGCGTTTTCAAAGCGGGGGCCACATCCAGGCTATAAATACCTACGTGATTTCTTCCTAGTTATTTTAGGTGCAAGAGCAGAGGGTGAAAAGAAATCCAGCGGCAGCGTACAAGAGCTTCGTGCAGGGGACACGTTTTGTAGAGGACCCGACTTTGGTGTTTTCAGAGGAAGAAAACTACAGAGGTGATGGCTGTCCTTTTGAGGGTTTTGAGCATCCTTTGTAGTAGATACTTGTGAGAGATCTGAGAGTTTGTGTGAGGGTTTAATTTGTGTGATTGTAAACCCATTTGTATTCTCTTTCTCTAATAGTAGATCTCCCCCTCCTTGCCCCGTGGACGTAGGCAATTTGCCGAACCACGTAAAACTTATGTGATTTGCTGTTTGTGGCCATTGTAATAGTTTATTAGGTTCCCTCAACAGGTCAGTCCTAGAACTGCTGAGAGGAAGAGCTGATATCTCACTTTGTTGAGATATTCACTTCAGATTCTTGTTTCCTTGGTGAGACATGAATTCTTATTGCGATATTTCTCTCTTATTGTGCACCAGAAACTATCGAAATTTTCGCTGCGCACAACAAGTTGTATCAGAGCCCAGATTCAGATCTAGGGTTTTTTGTTTTGGTTAGAGGAGTAGATCGATTTGAAAGCTCATCTAGGGCTTTGTTTGGTGATAAAGGTGAGATCTTTTGGTAAAGACTCTATCTTTTTAGTTTTGGATCTATTCTTCATTCGTTGGTGCGTTGATTAAGATGTCGGGGAAAGAAAGTGCTTCGGGTGTCGAGGGTGGTGCTTCTGGCACGAAGACCATTCAGAGTTTGAATATCCACTCTATGAAGATAGATATGGAGAAGTTTAATGGCACAAATAATTTTGGATTATGGAGATGCGAGGTTTTGTATGCACTGAACGCGCAGAATTTGGAGGATACCTTGGAGTTAGATGACAAGCCAGATGATATTGAAGAGAAGGTTTGGAAGAAGATGAATCAAACGGCGTGTGGTGTGATTAGGTATTGTTTGACTCAAGATCTAAGAGAAGGTTTGGAAGAAGATGAATCAAACGGCGTGTGGTGTGATTAGGTATTGTTTGACTCAAGATCTAAAATATGATGTGATGAATGAGACTTCTGCAAAGAAGATTTGGAAGATTCTCGAAAGCAAGTATCTGACAAAGAGTGTTGAGAACCGCTTGCATTTAAGAGGAGACTTTATCGTTTTCAGTTGAAGAAGGGAACCTCAATTAGTGATCACATGAACACCTACACAAAGCTTCTTGCGGATTTGGCGAATGTGGATGTCATGATTGAAGATGAGGACAAGGCGTTGCTATTGTTGAGTTCCTTGCCCGACGATGAATATGAGATCTTCGTTCTTACTCTGATTAATGGGAAGGCATCTCTTTCGTATAGTGAGGTGACTGCTACAGTTGTGAATTATCAGCTTCGAAAGAAGGATAAGAAGGCTTCAGTTGAGCCGGTAGCAGAGGCGTTGGCTGCAAGAGGGAAGGGTCCAAACCGGAAGAATTGGAAGTCACAGTCTAGAGTAGGACATCCTACAATTAGAAAAGATCAGTGTGCTTGGTATAAGGAGACTGATCATTGGAAGAAAGACTGCCCAAAGCTCGACGAATAGATGAAGAATAATCAGAAGGGAAAAGGGAAGCAACCATTATCAGAAGCAAACATCGTTATATCGGATGGTAATATTTCTGACTCTTCTATTTATTCGCTTTCTATTAGTCCTACAGAAGCTATTCGGAGGAATATGAATGGATGTTGGATAGTGGTGCGACCTATCATGTGTACCCTAGAAGGGAATGGTTCTCCAGTTTTGAGAAGCTAGATAGTGGTGTGGTATACATGGCTGATAACCGTGCATGCCAGATTCTTGGGATAGGAAGAATTCACATCAAGATGTTTGACGAGACTGTTAGGGAGTTATATGATGTGAGATATGTTCCTTCCTTGAGGAAGAACTTGATCTCGATTGGAGCTTTGGTTGGAGAGGGTCTGAATGTTCGAATTGAGGACATGGTTCTCAAGATTGTGGAGGACTCTCAGATTGTGATGAAGGGCGTCAGGAGGAATAACTTGTATTACTTGACTGGAGGTATAGTGGCAGGTGGAGAAGTGGCGACTTCTATTGATTCGACTAGACTGTGGCATTTGGGGTTTGGTCATTCCAGTATTGATTCCTTACATAGATTGAAAAAGGGTGCGAAGACCTGTAGTTTGAACTCCAGTGAATATGTTGATGTGAGCAAGAAGACCGAGGTGAAGTTTGGCACCTCTATTCACGGTGCTAAGGGTCGTTCTGGAGGTGTTCACGTGGATGTTTGGGGGCCTTCCAATGGGGCATCATTGAGAGGTAATAGATATTTGGTTTCCTTTGTTGGTGGATGTTCTAGGCGTGTTTGGATTGTAACCAAATCCCCATTGGAGAAAGTTCTAGTAGTCTCTAACAGATTGAAGAAGTGTAAGATGGACAGAAAGGTAAAGGTACTTCATTCTGATTTTGTTGGGAGGTACAAGATGGACATGTTTCTGTATTGGAACCGAGCTCATGGCATTTCAAGACACTTCGTTGGAAAGGAAATCTTAGGGCAACTAGATAGGGTGGCAAATTTGGAGAACCATGCTTTGCTGGAGGAGGATCGGTGTTTGTTGTCAAGCAATTGTCTGCAGAAGAGTTTCTGGACTGAGTCTTTGACATATTTGGGTCATCCTATTAAAGAGTTATCAACTGCTGTGATTGGAGGTAAAACTCTATTGGGGATTCTTCCTTCGTTTAGAAGCAAGAATAGAGTCAGTGAATATCTTATCGAAGTAAGATGAACACTCTTCTCAAGATCAAGTTAAAGCTTAGATATTAAGGAATCTCACAATTGTTGAAAGGAGATGAACTCTTGAAATTCGCTCAAGCCTTTTGAAAATCTCTGACCAATTGCTCCAGTAATAGCCTCTCTGTCCTTGGATCCTCCTCAAAAATGATCCCAGTGGGGTATTTATAGCCCCTGGAAAGTATAACTGAAATCAGGAGATCCTGGGGGAATTGTGCTTCCGAGGCCAAGACAGTTGTGACTGTCTCGGCGTCCGAGACAGCCCTGACTGTCTCGGAACGCCTGAGCTGCCCAACAGTTTTGTAACTGCTCTCCCACATTTTAAAGTCATTATCTTGGCAGTTATCGGCATGATTCTAGCTCGTAACGTCTCCCACGTTCTTTGACAATTAATGGCCACGTGTCATGCATATACCTTAGCGGTTTTTTGAACCCTCAGTACTGTCTCGGACCGCGAGTCCATACTTTCTCGCTACGCGAGACAATCTTGACTGTCTCGGGATTTCTGAGACAACTTCAGGCTATTCTTGTGTTCTTTTGATCTTTGGATGATCCTCTCTGACTTTAGATAATGACATTCATTATCTTCTCTTTGTCTTACGCTGTATTTGGATATCTATCAGCATTTTTATACGCCTACACCAGATTGTTATCGACTGCTATATGATCTCCAAATATGAACGCTGATTTGGGGAACTGGTCACGGCCGACAGGAGTCTCCATATCTAAGTCAGTGATCAGAGCTCTGAGAGTAGAACATCGGGGAAATCTGAGCATGTGCGTCCTCTCTGGGTCAGGGAAAGTGCATAGCGGAATCCGCTTGCAGAAACCAAAAGCTTCACCATTGTCAGGACCACCAATATATCCAAAATGATGTTCTTGAGAAAGTGGCACATTCGGGAAGAACACTGCAAAATCAGAAGCAAAGATTAGAAGCTGAAGACTCAGGTGGACTTGTG